CAAGCTGTCTGTTTTTCAATGTGTCTCTAGTAAGTTCTCGTTCCATCGTTAACGTGGCCTTCTTACTGATTTTCTTCCTATTGGGGAACGGTCTCTTGCCCTCTTTACTACTATATTGATGTCATAATGACATAGTGTTTTACTATCAATTTTTCTAAATCTTTTCATCTCTGCTATTTTTAATATCCTTTTTGTCCCCACTGTGTCTGGTCGTGTTTCTGCCAGGTATGTCATCGATCTGATGATTGATTTGTAAATTCTGCCTTTTCTTTCTTTTCAGATATTTTTATTTCACCATATTGTTTCATTCATACACCTGCGGCTCTGTTTACTCTATTCACTTGATCTTCCAATTCCGTTTCGAGTTTTTCGTAGCTTGATATGTGATGCCTAGATATTTAATCTCCATAACTTGTTCTATTTTCTGATCTTCCAGCGCCAAATTACATCTTAGTAAATTTGCTGTTCTAACCATGCATTTTGTCTTTAAGGAAATTCACCAAATAAATTTTCTGGTGGTTTTATTAAATTGGTACAGCATACGTTGTAAATGATCTTCTCTGAGAGAGTAAGTAGTATTGCTTCGTCTGCAAGCAGATTATTTTAGGTTGTTTTCCCCCATAGGTATCCTTTTTCAGTTGAAGCAAAATGCAAAACTACGATTTGTATAGGACACTCTAATTAAAAGATATAGAATTTTTACCGTCGAGTTGATACAAATTTTATTTAAAATTCTGACATTCAAAATCGCCGATCGCTTCAAGCCTTTTTTAGGGAACGGTTCATTCTACACAAAACGTGCTAATAAATATTTTCAACCAAAATGATTCAGCTACATTTTTTATTTGAAACATTTTTTTCTTTGGCGTATAGACTCTTGGTAAATCGATTTTTCTCCTCCCATTTCAGATGTTATATTTAGGACAAGGAATTGGTGGAATTTTGGGATAAAATGCTGCTTTTGTCAGAAAGACGATTACTTTTCGGGTTAAATTTAAAAATAATCCAAAGTAAATGGTAATATAGAGATCATATTCCTGTGTTCCTATTTGGTTATCACTGCTTTTTAAGGGGGATAGAGAGCATAGTATTTTGGGATTTCCCATTTCTTAGAGTTCGCAACGCACCATACTGAGATAGAAATGTCGACCAAATGTTCCACAACCTTTGTTACTCAAATATTTACGGTCGTTTAACTAAACTGCCCTTCACCGAGTAGAGACTAATAGTTTTTTTATATTGTTAAAGTATGTAAGAAGAATATCCAGCAGTATTAAAATTTTAATCAAATTAAGTTATTTTGTTGATTAAATCTGTTATCTTTTTTATCAAAACCTATATCTCATACGTATATCTTTACGTTCCTTAGAGGTTACCTTTTGTTTTAGTTTCTATTGAAACACTGCACTGTCATACAACGTATTTGATTTAATATCATTGAAAAAGCTGTTTTCACTCTCTAATAATTTGAGATGATAACTCAGATAACACACATATTCGCCTCTTTGATCCCCGCATGTTTTTCACCTTTGTTGATTTTATTTTGTTTCAGTTCCTTTCTATACAACTACTGAATGAGCTTCCGAGAGCTTTTGGCCCAAGGAATGGAACCGCTCCCAGATGAATAAATATATTGACTTTTTAAATTTCTCCTTTGATTGAAATATAAAGCCTGCCACTTACAGTGCCGTGTAAGTTTGTTCAAATTCTGAGAATGTTTTTCTGTTATCTGAAAATTATATCACACTAATCCTCAATTTTTTCCATATTTTTTTTAAGCAGGACAATATTGTACATTTTAATGCATCACGTAGTGTAATATATAGAGCTATCGACTAAATTAATATGGTTGTAAAATTAATTCAAAATATGGCATGTTGGTATAGTCCAGGGGTCGGTAACCATTTGAGTCGGAAGAGCCAAAAATTACAATTTACAAAATTTTTAAGTTTCTAAAGAGCCACAATTTTTTTGTCAACAATAAATAGTACTTGCATAAATAAAGTTCCTGGATAAAAGAAAATCTATTTATTTATATGTAGTTATATAGAATGCTAAACCTGTAAATATAAATATCATCCCAGTTTATGCTCCCACTGCTGACGCAGATGAGCAGAATATTGAAGAATTCTACCATAAAATAGTAGAAGTGCTAAAAATAACAAAGAAACACGAAGCAATAATAATTATGGGTGACTTTAACGCTAAAGTTGGACAGAAGATGACGCAGGGCATCACCGGAAAGTTTGGCTTGGGAGAGAGAAATCAAAGAGGTGAACGGCTAATAGAATTCTGCCAAGAAAATGACTTCGCCATTACAAATACCTGGTTTCAACTTCCAGAAAGGCATCTTTACACGTGGAAATCCCCTCAAGATGGACATCAAGGCAGAATAGTACGGAATCAAATAGACTACATCCTAATAAACCATCGATTTCGAAACAATATTAAAGATGTAAAAACTTACCCCGGCGCTGACATAAACTCAAATCACAATTTACTCTGCTCCAAAATACAAATTAAATTGAAGAAATTAACAAAGCCAACTAAGCCTTGTAAGATATATCTCGACCCCCTGAAAAACCCTCAAACGCGCGAAAAAATATCACAGCAAATAAATAGTAAAATACACAGAATATCAAATATACCAAACGAAAACAGAACCATTAACGAATGCTGGTATGCCATTCAAAACTCGATTTCAGAGAACGTACAAGAGTCTTTGAAAACACCTACCATGTTGGCAAAAAATGAGTGGATGACACAAGAAATTCTAGATCTGATGGAAGTTCGACGGCAACACAAAAATAGAAATATTATCGAATATCGTGAAATTAATAAACGCATAAAAAGAAAAATTAAGCAAGCCAAAAAATCCTGGCTTGAGAATTTATGTAAAGAAATAGAAGACCTCCAAAAAAAGCATGACAGCTTCAACCTGCATAAGAAACTTAAATATACTGCCGGAATTAGAAAACAGAAAAATGCTCACATACTTAAAAGCGCGGACGGAAAAATTTGTGATCACGAACAACAGTGCAAAGAATGGGAGAGATACATCACTGACCTTTTTGACGATGCTTCTAGGGAAAATGCTCCAAATACTGCCTATGACAACCAGTTGGACAGAGGTCCCAATATACTGAATTCGGAAGTCGAAAAGGCAATACAGCAAGCCAAAAACAATAAAGCACCTGGACCAGATCAAATCCCTGCCGAACTACTTAAACTTTTGGATGAGGAAAGCATTGCCTGCTTAACCACTTTCTTCAACAAAATTTACAACGAAGGAAAAATACCAGATTATTGGTTAGAGTCACTGTTTATAACATTACCAAAGAAAAGCAGGCCCACCAAATGCAGCGATTTTAGACTAATCAGTTTGATAAGTCACACACTGAAGATACTCTTACGAATTATACAAAACCGAGTATTCCTTCTACGCGAAAGTAAGATGGGTGATAAGCAATTTGGATTTAGAAACGGTCTAGGAACTAGAGAGGCACTATTCTGTATGCGCGTTCTATTACAAAAAAGTTGTGAATTCCGAAATAATGTTTATGTTTGTTTCATCGACTTCGAGAAGGCGTTCGACAGAGTCCAACACAATACACTTTTCGACTGCCTACGGGCAGCAGGACTTGACCACTATGATATAAGACTGCTGAAATACTTATATTACAATCAAGTAGCCTCTATCCAAATTGGAGAGAGTCCCACTGAAAAAATACCCATCAAACGTGGAGTACGACAGGGTTGTGTTTTGTCACCCACTCTTTTTAATCTGTACTCTGAAGAAATCTTTACGGAGGCTTTGGACGACAGACAAAAGGGAGTAAGACTAGGTGGAGAAGTAATCAACAATATTAGATACGCTGACGATACAGCTATTCTTGCAGAAAGTTTACAAGGTCTCCAAACATTACTAAATCTAGTCTGTGAAGCAAGTTATCGGAGAGGCCTAAAAATCAACATTTCAAAGACAAAGTGGATGGCAGTTGGAAAGATCCATATAGATCAAGGTCTGCTTTCTCTTAATGGAAGAGATAGAAAGGGTAAATCATTTCAAATACCTTGGCAGCTGGTTAAATGTAAATTGTGACTCTGATGAAGAGATAATATCCAGGATCGAAATATCACGTAAGGCTTTTATGACCTGGAAACCAGTTTTATGCAACAGAAACCTGTCAATGAATATTCGTAAGAAGGTCCTGAAATGTTATGTGTGGTCGATCCTATTGTATGGTTGTGAGACATGGACGTTAAAAACCACAATGCTAAACAAGTTAGAAGCATTCGAATTGTGGTGCTATAGACGAATCCTAAAGATATCGTGGGTTACGCACACTTCCAATGAAGATGTTCTTCAAATGATCAATTCAGAACGTCTGCTCATAAACACCATAAAGAGGAGAAAAACAGAATACTTCGGTCATATAATTAGAGGACCTAAATACCATTTACTTCGCCTTATAATACAAGTAAAAGTGGAAGGAAAGAGATGGATTGGTCGAAAGAAACTTTCATGGCTGCGTAATATTAGACAATGGTGTGGTTTCACAGTGGAAAAATTATTTCGCGCAGCAGCCGACAGAGAAAGGTTTCAGGAAATTGTAAACATGATGACGGCCAACGTCTGAATACGGACACGGCACCCAAAGAAGAAGAAGTTATATAGTGTTTTTCACATATATATTTTCATACATATCATTTATTAAAGTAATAAATTAGAACAACTCAATATTCAATTATAACAGTAACTTGCACTTCAATAACAAACAGTTGAGCAAATAATCTCAATGGGAGTGTTGGCTTTGCATGGTTTTAGAAAGTTTGGATAAATTTAGCTCATAACTTGTTGTTTTATGTTTCAATTACGACTCTAAATGTTCATTTGTTAGTTGCCTTCTTAGTTTACTTTGAAGTATATTCATGCAAGGGAACACTTGCTCGCAAAAATGTCGATCCGAAGATAGTTAGTAATCCAAATGCCAACTTTTTCACCTCACTATACCTATCTGGAAGATTATTCCATGCGGCGAATATAGTCCCTCAATTCGCGGTATTTCTTTCAAAGCTCTCCACTTTTTTGCGTTACGTACATACATTTCTGGACTTCCAACTTTTTCAACTTGCCTTTCAATTCTGTAAATTTTCCACTCCAAAAAAGTTTTACTTTTTAAATCGATCAATTGCATTTCTAAAGATCCAGTATGAATTCCAAATTGCTCAACGTGAATTTCGTTACTATTTGTGTTGAGAGGATTTACTATGAATGCTAATTCTTGCAGTTTTAGATTCAGCTCATTTAATTTCGCTGTGATTTTTGCAACCATTTGTCGTACCCTAATTCCGGGTGATTGATGCCTTTTTCATTTAGGATTGAATTTATTTCATTCAAGCACAAACCAAACGTTTCAACAGCTTACCTTTGGAAAGCCATCGCACTTTATTTTGAAGAACGAGGTAGGAATACTGAACCTCCATTTCGTTTAAGAATTCTTTAAACTGACGATGGTAGAGTGCTTTTGAGAAGATGCTATTAACAATCTTGATCACCAAATTCATGACCTCAACTATTTCGGCTGGAAATGTTTGGGCACAAAGCCATTCTTGGTGTATTATGCAGTGAAACGTAAGATGATTTCGTGATTTAATTTGCTTTGAAGAATCGCTGTTGTCCCTTTATTTTTTCCTGTCATACTTCTGGCTCCATCAGTTGCTATTGAAACGATTTAATTTAAATCGATCTCATTTCTTCAAGGCACTTTTGCACGGCATGCTCTATATCTTCCCCTCTGGTTTGTCCCGAGAGCGGTAGCAATTCGCAGAAGTTTTTCTTTATGACCTTGCGAAGACATATACCTGATAAAAAGAGGAACTTATGCCGTCTTTTACATCGCAAGACTCATCTATAGCAAGTGATAAGGCGAAAGAAAGTTGAATATCTTCCACCTGCAAATATGTTACATTTGAAGATATTTTAGCTACTCTATCTTGTACTGTTTTAGCGGATAATGGCAAGTCTTTGATTTTATTCAAGATTTCTGGTTGGTTTTTGAAATCACTAAACAGTTCTTTAGATGCACTTATGAAGCAGGCTTTGATATACTCACCATCTGTGAATGGTTTGGATTTTGTTGCAATTTCTAGTGATACCGCGAAGCTTGCCAGATAGACATTACTTGTAGATTGGGTCCAGTTACATAATATGGAACTTGATTGCTGTTTTTGTTTTTGGAGCTCATCGACAGCTTTTTTTCGTTCTTCGCCGGCTGGATATTTACTAGCAAACTGAGTATGCTTTTTGTGAAATCTCTCTCTAAATTTTATCTCTTATTGTGTGCGAGTTTTTCTTGACAAATGAGGCAAGTCGGAAGGCCATCTGAGTTGCATATGAAAGCCAATAACTCGAATGCGAGTGCGGTGGGAAGCGAGTGTAAGTAAATGAGAGAATCGCTGTCTATTCATCGTTAATCAGAAGGTTTTTTTAAACTTTTTTTTTGGTAAAATAAATAATATTTGCGTGTGAAACTCAAGAGCTGCATCTTCACATCCAAAGAGCCGCATGCTGTTCACTAACTGGGTATATTTTGACACGGACCTTGTCGGAAAAATTCAACATAAAAATTCCTATACTCGGATTAGGGATCCCAGTCCTTAACTATCCAGTCAAAACAACCAAGCACACGTGCTCATAAACAATGTTAAATTGTAACTTAAAATAAACAAGAATTCACATGCAGTTTATCAATAGAATAAAGCTGCATCTATTAAAACAAAGGTTTCCATATTTACTTTTTAACCTTTTAAAATTATTTATACAAACTAGTATTTGCAAATAGAATATTTTTAATCAAAATTAATGAAAGTTTACTTCTATTATTCATGATTATTCTTGTTTTTTTTTTTCAATTAAACAAGTCTGCAACAGTAAGTTTATTTTTTGTTGTAGGTTTTCGATAATGATTTTGTCAATATATTCCTAAGCTGAGTGAATCGACTATACTATTATCAATAGCTGAAATAAACTTACTATTACAGAAATTTTTAAATGAAAAAAAAAAAGAATAAACATGGACAATGGAAGTATATATTCATTAATTTTTATTAAAAAATGGATATAGGCTATACCATTTCAAAAATAAACATTTCAACCTTTGTTTTATTGTTGTAATTCATTCAGTTTTATTTTGTTGGTAAACTGCATGTGAATCATTTTTACAGTCAATATTTATATTGATAACTGAAGAACGAATATACCATTTAAAAATCAACTATGGCTGGACCAATTTTCATGATTTTTGATTTGTTGGATTTGTCTCCGTTCGGAATAACAGAATAATTATTAAAAAACAGCGCGCGGCACTTGGGGAGTTCCGACTGAAGTGAATACTTCTTATAGCGCGTTATTACTATATGTGAGTTATATATGTAAGATATCAACTTGAAGTTGTTATCAACAGGTCCTCGAAGACACTTCGTCTCAGGACCATTTTACCTATGTAGGGTCATACGTCGCCATGTTACCAATTCCAACGGTAACTTAAACATCCTAATTTGTAACTATAAGACAACTGGTAAATTTATAACATTTAAAGTGTTTTGACCCATATATTTTGGTGGCTCATAGCATGTATACCCTGTTTACGCTAATGATGGATTTAACAATCCGAAAACGTTCTGTAATGTAATTGTGATAGCCCGTTTGGGCATTTTATTATATACCTACCTTTTATAAAGGATTTGAAATATTTTTTTTTTCATTTAAACAGAACGGTTAACTAGCCGAACTGTAGATATGGGAGCAGAGAAAATCCTCACTGAGTGTGAGAGACTCACACGCAATATCCTAAAAAATTAACGATTGAGCTGGTATTATTAACAATAAAATTATTGGTCCTTATTTTTTTGAGGGCGCAGTTGATGATGAGGTTTATCTAGATTTTTTGATTAGCTTTTTAGTGCCTACATTACGAAAGTTTTTTTCTAAAGTTAATCATCCAAATTAGATAGATGGACCTTTTTACTACCAACAAGGTGGAGCTCTATCGCATTTTGTACTTATAATTAGAAATTATTTAAACGAGGTTTTTCCCAATAGGTGGATTGGAAGACGTTGACCAATCGAATGGCCGGCTAGATCCCCCGTTTTGACTCCTCTCGATTACTTCTTATGGTTATTTAAAATCTAAAGTATAATTTACTAGACCAAACAGTATTGCTGATTGAAAAGTTGGGATAACGGAAGAAATTAACAAAATAACTCCTGGAGTCTTACAAAATGTTGTATGAGAATTCCAAAATCGCCTCGGGTATTCTCAAAAAGTGAATAGTGGTCATTTTGAACATTTAATTTAATTGTAAAGTACATTGAAAAATACATTCTAAATATTATATGACATTATTATCTTCATTCAACCTAAAGTTTTGTGGTAAATACATTATCAAAGTTTTACATTTTAAAAATCAATTTTCTAGGTTATTATTGCACCATCACATCACCACCTTACAACTGAACAGAGGACTAAAATCCTTTTCTAACAAGGTGCTACACAACCCCCTTTGCTATTTAAAATTTTCGATTGGGTGCTTATAATTCAAAGGGGGTGCTGGAGGGGGATATTATTTTCATACTGTAAATTGTCCATTTATTAATAAAAATCGACCTGTTTCAGGTTTTTTTCACATAGTACTTAATAACGCTAAAAATGAATTTATTCCATACATATGGACCGCTGTTATAAACCAAACGAAAACTCAAAAAAGGATTCATTCAATAGAAAGTCATATTTTGTCATAGGAGAGAAATCATTATTTGTAGAAAGGTGAGGGTGCCACCAGCTGAACTTTAACGATCATACCTATTAATTGTGGTATATTTTTCTACAAAAAAAGGCTCGTTGACTTCAAGCCAGTGCTCAGTAACCGCAACTATCAGGGGAAATCCTAATTCCTCTAGCAACAAAAATAATTCATCTGTTTTATATCTCATAGAACGAATATTAATCAGATCCATGCTAAAGTTGCCATCACTAAAATAATTTGAAGTTTTCACAGAACACGTCATATTATTTAAAAATTTCGTTTGTAGAGGCAAATATGTTTATTTATGAAATAAAATTGTTGATATAATAATTTAAATAGTTTAATAATAAACTCTTAAATAATAAATTTAATTTAAACTCAAATTTTTTGTAATTTTCTTTAGCGGAAAAAGCAGAAGTAAAACGATAAATTTTGGATTTTTTTTACTATACCCTTTAGACTGCAATGTATGCAGATCCCTCTAATAAGCAGTAAGGAGTAAGTGAATGAACTGTATCCCCGGACTGGTCTAAAGTCTAGAGTAGTAATCCATGGAATTGAAGGATACCACAAAAAGGAAACCATAACAGATTTCTCAAAATTATTAAAACACTAAAACTGCCAACATCTAAAACTGGCGTGGCTTGTACTGGCGTCACTTGTACCTGGACAATCGTACCACTACTTGACTGGTGAAATGTCTGACCAAGACTTTCGACTTGACTTCCAGACTATGGAAATAAAATGAAAAATTCGTCGCTGTGATGCTAATTCTTTTTACCTTGAATTTCAAGTTAGATCAGTTACCAATATAATTTCGATTCTTCCGCCACGATATGTGATTATTTGTCAATGTAAACAAACAACTGGATTTTGTTTATTCTAATCGAAGATTTTGAGACACAATCCAAGTGTTTTTCTTTCGAAGATTTGTAAAACATAAATTAAACCTTTATATGGAAGGAGAAATACAAGGTGACAGTCAGGTGACATTTTACATCGAAGTCATGTCACTTCAAGGAATTCTAATCTAGAGATGAATGATGACATACATAACCAGGCTTTGCTTTTGATCGAAGACTTGCACTACGTCATGTGCAGCAGTTAGTTATTTATGTTAGGAATGCCATCGCCAAATGGTGAATTCAGCGACGATTTCAATCGATAATTGGAACGTTAAAGAGAATATGATCGAGATGTATTGAATAAATTAGTTCGAACTAATGTGTCAATTTTGAACTCACAACAGAAGGAAGTGGACGATAAGTTATTGAAACTGACTGACGACTAACAAGTAAGTTGCATTGCTAAACGGGCTCTGCTTTCTCCAAGCAATTGCTCGCTATCGGTATCGGTTCATTAATAAAGTATTCCAGAACATCATTGCTAAACACAAAAATATCAATTGATTGAGTGAACGAACAGTTCAAACAAGTCTATCGACTGTGTAACAAACGAAAACGTATGCTTGGCTTACCTCAACACAATTTACAACTAAAAGTTGGTGCGGCCGTGATATTTGTTTGGA